GCTATGATGGGTCGCCACACGCATCGGATGAAGTGGGTATTCACCCACGATAGCTCATGCTCCAATACGTCTGTTAGTCTATAAGGTGCCACAGGACTCTTTGCTGCTTTTACAGATCCAGACTAACACGGCTACCCCTCTGATACTTAATCTCCTTGAATGGCGGAGGTGTGTTATAAATGTTACATCACTGGGGATGAAACTTTGCTTAGTCAGCATGCTGCATCCTCTCATTTGCCATTTCATATTTTCCTGATGCTGAAATCCTTCACAGAAATAATGTAGCCAAAATGTAATTAACCCATCACTGAAATGAATAGAGCAGGTTAAGGTTTTGGGAACTCTGATCACTATCAAGCTGATTAAATGAGTTTTCCAGTGTCCTACCACAACAGGTGTACCAGGCCTTTTTTGCCCCATCACCACCCTGAAGCACTCCACCCAAAGGAAAAGCATTGGCTGGGAAAGAGGGGCAATGAGTTAGACCTCAGAACCTGCCACTCAGGTTCTGCTACCTGCAGAACCAACAAGACTTGGTCCTCCAGGGGCTAGAAGGGGAGTGGGAGGAGGTATTAACCAATCTGGACCCACCAGGCGATATAAGAGGGCTTGCTTGCTTCTTTGTAGGGGCAGTGCTGGATGAAGCTGGGAGAAGAGGGGAGCTCCCCTAGCCCTAACCCAGAACCCCAGGCCTGGAACCCCAGGCCCTCAGAACCTAACCATCTAACTGCACCTTCAGCTGAAGGGGGTACAAAAAACTGGCTGTTTTGTCTTGAAGTTTAAGGGCTCAGGTGACCAATTTTGGGGGTTGAACTTTAATTGTTAAAGGATGAGCAAAGAGCTCACTGCACCAGACCCCTTGCTCCAGGCACTCTGTGACACCTGTCCTTTTAGTATTTGTTAGTTGTATGCATAAGCACATTATTATTCCATAGATGCACATGGCACTTCACCGATAAAAGGGTTTCCCTGCCTTGAAAGACTTTACAATCTATTTTTTTTCATAGCAGCGTAAGTATTATATTGAGTGAGAAAGAGGAGGGGGAGGACCTGATCCCAGCAGTGAGGTTTACCAACCCGGCAGGTTCTGTTCCTCTTTCAGATGATGTGACTTTAGGCAAATAACTTAACCTTTCTGCCTCCACTTCCTCATCTGTAATATGCAAACCTACATTGCAGGGATGGTCTGAGGATGAATTAGTTGATGCTCATAAAGCACTTGGCAGGTGAAAAGTGCTATCTATGTACATGTGAAGCATTACCTCCCTTTAATAAAAGAGATCATTTAAAACCATATATGAACTGGACTCATGAAAGGAGCCTCATCTAGCATAGTGCTAATACTGCTGGTAAAACTCTTGTAAGATTCCTCTAGCTATGCAGCGTTGCCAATGCACCATCACCCTGACCTAGGGCTCTTCTAGATACCCCAGCCCTGACTCACGCTCTGCCAATGCCTCTCACTCCTCAGCTGTTCCAGTCCTGGGCTCCTCCAAGCACCTCGGCTCTTACTGAAACAATGGCTGTGAATCCAGTTTATTGCTGATAAATATATCTAACTGTAGAATGCACACAGGCTGTACAGCAGCTGCCCTGTGATAGATCTATTCTGTTCAAGTTCTTACACTGTGCCCATCACCATGATCCTTGATCACCTGATTGGTGCACTGTTTGGACAGATGTGCAATTTACCAGACATGCGTTTGTACCCTGGACTGATCACAACTGTGGCTTTTGTTCCAGGTGGATAAAGTTTGAAGAAAAGGTGGAAGAAGGAGGGGAGAGATGGAGCAAACCTCATGTGTCAACGTTATCTTTGCACAGCCTGTTTGAACTACGCACGTGTCTACAGACAGGGACGGTGCTCCTAGACTTAGATGGCTACTCCTTACCACAGATCATCGGTATTAACCTCTCAATGCAAACAGCGGTGGGATTTTCTTGAAGTGGTTTCATTGGCACGCTGAAGCCTTACCTAGAACTAGAGGAAAGTGTCACTCATCTCAGAGTAATTTGGTGGAAGGGAGGGTTAATGGCATGTCAAATGGCGCACAGTGTAACCGACAATATCAACTCTGATTCTCCACTTGTGTAGTCATTGACATGTATGAATAGTAAGATCGTGTAATGTAAATAATAAGACCATGTGGGCAAGTGGCTACGGTGATGGACTGCAAATTTATTCTGTGTGAGAGGATGTTAGACCACTAGTGTAGGCCTGGGGAGAGTGGAGTGCGGTTCCCTGGTCTGCCACAGACCTCCTGTGTGACCCTGAGCACTCAATTAGGCCCAGATTTGTAATGATACCAGACTCCTTGTTGTTTTAATGATATGTAGGTGTCACTGCACTCAGCATTGCAACCCCAAACTGATTTAGGAGCCCTTGTCTCACTTTCAAAAGGGATTAGGAGCCAATATGCCAATTATGTAGGCTCCTAAGTGCCTAAATCCCTTTTGAAAATGAGAGGCTCCTAAATCAATTAAGTATTTTAATGCTCAGCACAGCAATGCCCGAATTCTGTTAAACATCGGGGCTTTAGTCTCTCAAGGCCTCAGGTTCCTCATCTGTAAAGTAGGGATAACAGTGCTGCTGTTGTGAGGATAAATACGTTAAAGTTTGTGAAGTGCATAAGACCAGATCCTCAAAGGTACTGAGCTCTCCTGACTTTCATTGAAACCCCTGGGAGTGAAGTCCCTAAACACCTTTGAGCATCTGGGGGCCAGATACGTAGCTAAAGTAGATTATGCACTGCAACTGTAAATCACTACTGCTCTGATATGTTTGCATTTGACTTCCACTTTTCCGTGATTACACATTGACACCTTTTGCAGTCCGATGCAGTGAGGTTCTTTAATACATTTCACTCCACTGTAATCCATCCAATATGAAGTTAGGCAATGAAGGGATGATGATGATGAGGTTGTTGCTAAATTAATTTCTGTCACCTGGTGGGTCTTATGCAGTGTAATTGTAGCCGTATCAGTCCCAGGATATTCGATAGGATATTACCTCACCCACCTTGTCTCTCTAGTGGGTTTTAGGCTTACAGCCCCAAAAAAACCCACATATGTGTGTTGAGGAAGCTGTGACTAGTGGTTGGAGCTGGGACTCCTGGGTTCTGTTCTGAGACCTGCAGGTGTTAGTAAGGCTCTAGTTAATGTTTGCAAAGCATCCTGAGATTATATAAACCTGACAGGTGAGGAAAAGCTGAAAAAAGCGGATGCAGTATTGCATCAAAACTAACAGTGCCTTATGCTGGGTTTCACTTTCCATTTTTATTGATGAATGTTCATTTCATTATGCCTTACGTAATATAAGCCAGAGAGAATGCAACTGTTGTCAAGCAGGAGATGTGGTACAGTTGAGAAATGAAGACAAAATTGATGTCTAATTTCTGTGCATCCATTAACTTATTTATTTTTCCCTTTGATTATATATAGTTACATACAAATGTCATTACATATAAATACACTAAAAGTTTTTAAAAAACCTGACCTGTGAGGAAAAGTTAAAAAAACTGGACATGTTTAGTCTTGAGAAAAGAAGACGGGGGCGGGGGACCAGATAAATCTTCAAATATGTTAATGGCAGCTATAAAGAGGACAGTGATCATTTGTTCTCTATGTCCACTGAAGGTAGGACAAGAAACAATGGGCTTAATCTGCAACAAGAGAGATTTAGGTTAGACATTAGGAAAAACTTTCTAACTCTAGTTAAGCTCTGGAATAGGCTTCCAAGGGAGGTTGTGGAATCCCCATCACCGGAGTTTTTAAAAACAGGCTGAACAAACCCCTGTCAGGGATGGTCTAGGTTTACTTGGTCCTACCTCAGCGCAAGTGGCTGCACTTGACGATGTCTCAATCATTTCTGTGATTCTGTATACAGCAAGTGACTCATAAATGCAGCGTATTTGCTCTGCAAGATAATGAGAGAAAGCACAATACATTTAGAACTCTACAGCTTCCTTTTTATTGTCCCTTTTCAGAGTATAACTACACGTTACACTTGAAAAGGCGGTGTAGTAGTCAGCATTTAAGTAACAACCCACTGCGTATGTTAAAACGTTGGCTCAAATTGTTGCACTGTTACATTCTTATTGTGGAGCTTGGTAGAGTTTTGCCATTCTTATTTATTCATTAATCATCTCTCTGTTTGATTTATTATCTCTGGTGTGATGTACTTTTTATGTACTTTTTAATTTAACTTTATGAGCCTTATTCTAATGTCACATAATAAGCAACTCCGTTGAAATCAGTGGAATTTATGCTGGGGTAAAAAGAGAGGACGGCTGAATTAATTAACCGTATCAGAAGAGGTGACTCTCAGTAAAATAAAGGCTGGTCTACCCACAAACCTGCACTGAAATAACAAAAGGAGACAGTCCAAACTGATTTTGTTATTTCTGTGCAAGTCTGTGTATAGATGAAGACCTAAGGCAGCTAAATCGGCATCACCAACCCAGTCAGATTAGCTTAGCATAGTAACTGCTTTGAAGATGTATACGTACTGCACACTGGGATAGGTTTTTATCATATGAAAACATCCTAGTGCCTTCTGTGAATCGCTACAGATCTCACTGATGCCCAGATATTGTGGTGATGGGCATCTTGGAGAAAGCATATTGTTTGTTTTGGAAGTTTAGAGCCAAATCATGTAGCTTTGATTCTTCCCAATGGTGGGAGTTTTGCCTGCCCAAGAACTGCAGGAGTTGGCCCTTTAGGCAGAACAAGCTTGATTCTTCACTGCCTTGCTCCTTGTGTGTCGTCATTGCACACCTATGCAACGTTAATGCAACACCCTGCTATATCTGAATGGCTGCATTTTACACAGATATCACGTGGGTGTAAATGATGACATAAGGTACATGGCAAATAGGGATTGGGCACTACACCTTTAAGAAAAGGAAAGTAACGTGGCCCTGATTCAACACTCCATTATACAGGCAAAACCCCAGGGGAGGAAGGATATTAACTGTGATTTTTTTCTGAGTAAAGAAAGAGCGTGAACTTACCTGTGATGATCTGATCCCACCATATAGCCTCTACAGACCACGTAGAGTTTGTATGATGAGACTGCCTACAATGGCATGGAGCCGATTTGCAACTGCTAGCAGCAAATCTCTCCAATAGCCAGGGATGGGACACTAGATGGGGAGGGCTCCAAGTTACTGCAGAGAATTATTTCCCAGGTGTCTGGCTGGTGGGTCTCGCCAACATCTCTAACTGATTGATTGTCACATTTGGGGTCAGGAAGAAATTTTCCCCCAGGTCAGATTGGCAGAGACTCTGAGCGGTTTTCGCCTTCCTCTGCCATATGAGGCACAGGTCACTTGCAGGTTTAAACTAGTGTAAATGGTGGATTCTTGGTAACTTGAAGTCTTTAAATTATGATTTGAGGACTTCAGCATAGGGGCTGACTTCCCCTCTGCCCGGTGGGTGCTCAACCCCACCGCTGTCCCCACTTCTTCCCGCCCCCGCACTGCCCTCGTCCCACCACCATTCCACCCACTTTCCCCAAGTCCCCGCACCTTCTCCGCCTCCTCCCCCGAGTGCGCCGCGTCCCCGCTCCTTCCCCTCCCTCCAGGAAAGTCCTAAGCGCTGCCAAACAGCTGGTTGGGGGGGGCGGGAAGCGCTGGGAGCGAGTGGGAGGAGCAGGGACACGGCATGCTTGGGAGGGGGGAGGAGGCGGGGCGGGAGGAGCTTAGCTGCTGGTGGGTACCGAGCACCCGCTAATTTTTCCCATGGGTGCTCCAGTCCCGGAGCACCCACAGAGTCGACGCCTATGGACTTCAGTAACTCAGCCAGAGGTTAGGGGTCTGTTACAGGAGTGGGTGGGTGAGGTTCTGTGGCATGCAATGTACAGGAGGTCAGATTAGATGATCATGATGGTCCCTCATGACCTTAAAGTCTGAGTCTTTGGCATGTGATGCAGTTCTAGAGTTTGCAAGGAGGGGGATTTTTTTTATTTTATTTTTTTTGCAACAGAACCTGCCATACTGCAGCCCAGCGAGTCATGCACACGCTTCCAATGTCCTTCTTTCAGATGATGTTATTGAAAAGCAGATAGAGGATGGTCTGCTCAAGCCAGAGCTGAGAGAGAAAATAAGTTACGTGCTCCTGAGGAAACACCGCCACCAGACCAAGAAGCCAATCCACCGATCCTTGGCAGACATTGGCAAATCAGTCTCGTCCAACACAAGTGAGTTCACAAGATTCAGCTCACACATGGCTGTATCCCGACGTCCTTATTCCTTTTTTTTTTAACCCAGGCTAATCTTTTGTTGCAGTCTAGGGGCCTCAGTAAGGACTGAAGGTAAAATGCTCCCCCTCTACAGAGGACTAGCACCTGTCCTATGCTCCATTTACAGCCCATTCCAGCCCTGTGGCTCAAATCCACCAATTTTCTCTGCCTCTATGAATACCTATGGGCTTCATTGGGACATAAGCAGCATGCACGGTCATGCTGTTCCTCTACACTTCCCCTTGAACACAAACTTCCGGATTTCATTCAGTACATTCTACAACTCTTATGCCGTATGTGAAACATGTAGATAAAAACAAAGCTGGTGGTTCTTAGATTCGTAGAGCTTAAGGCCAGAAGGGACCGTGAGATCATAACAGAGAGCGATGGATGGAACCCACAGGAACCCAGAAGGTGGCACAGGGAGTTGGTAAAGGAATGTAGAGTCTATGTCGCTGCGTGACTGGCCCCTTTATGAAGGAGCAGCACCGAGTGCAACCTGTGAGTGATTACCTGCTGCTCATTTGGGCTTAAGGGAAGGCACCTGGGCCTTATAAAGAGGGAAACAGGGCGAGGAATGTGGGGGCAGAGCGAAGCTGCAGAGACTTGGGCAATGTCTACACTACACAGCTTTTAGCAACATGGCTGTGTCACCGCAGCTGTGGCGCTAAAAGTCGCGCAGTGTAGCCGCTGTTTGTCAGCAAAAAACTTCTACCCCCAGCGAGCGGCGTTTGCGTTGTCAGCAGGAGAGTGCTCCTGCCGATGACGTGCTGTTCATGCTGGCACTTGTCGCAGCAAAACTTTTGTGTTTCACGGGGGGATTGGGGGAGTTGTTAACACCTCTGAAAGACAAGTTTTGTCGTTTAGTTGCCAGGGTAGACCTAGCCTTAGGGGGCTCCTGCAGAGAGCAGAAAGCTGGGATCCTCTCCTGGGAAAAGAGAAGAGGCCCCAGGGCTGAGTTGAGACACCAGGGGACAAAGGGTCCAGGCAGGAAAGCCTGCAAATGACTCAGGAGAGAGGACGATTCTCTCCTGGGAAAAAGGGAGAACCCCCAGGATTGAATGTTGTGAATTGTCTGTAATTTATGTATATACAGCAGGGGAATGTTTAAAGGACTCAGGCCTGGTGGAATTTATCTAAGGAGCCTTGAGGAGAGTAAACTGAGGCAGGGCCTCTGCACAGCCTCGCTTGGCCAGAAGGGGGCGCTACAGGGCAAGCCCAGCCTTTTACAGCCTATAAAATCCATGTTATCCATTCAAATCCTTCTGAGGTTGTTAGTAAACTGTAGTAAACAAACAGTTACTCATCTGACATTGGTTTGTGTGAAGCAAGCTGGTGGTCTCCGTAGAGTTCCCCATCACAGTAGCATCACCCCGTGGGGCTGTAAATGGCACCTTTGGTGACCATTCCAGCAGAGAGGCCGAAGGCTGGATGGCACATTGAAAACTGATCTCCATGTCAGGGCGAAGGCATCCTGGCAGGGGGCTGTGCTGGAAGCTTGCTCTGATGTGGTATGCCACTGGGTTGCTTGCTCTATAGAACGAACCCAGTCTGTTGCATGATTGTTTCCTGTTTTTAGCCATTTTAAAGGGGGATTTCTCTGTTTCCAGTCTAGGATATTAACTTTGGCACAAATAGAAGGCACTTTGGTGGAATCTTGGATGTAATGACCTTAAGTTGTCCACTCTCTAGACTAACCTAAAGTGCAAACGTAAGGTTTCACTTCCGCACATCAGATGTAATCGCCGATAGCCTGCTCTCCCGACGTGCATACTTTCATTGACTTCAACGAGGCATCCATGACTCTGGGGAACAGAACAGAGATTCACCCAACAGCTCAGAGCAGAACTTTGCTCATAATTTAGTGATTTCTAGCCTTGGTGTTTTGGCTGTGGTTATTACTCCTCATTGATGTTTTACATTGTGGGTCTTTTTCCATTTAGGAGTAAAAAGTCGTTGGAATGAATATTGACAAAATACAGGAAAATACAGGGGCAGATTGTTTACCCACAAAGGGAGTTCTGCTGTTCACTTCAGTGGGTGCTGCATTGGGCCCATTATTAAATTGCAGGGAAGATTTTTATTGCTGTTGTTCTAGCTGCTATTCATCTTGTTGCTTCCAGCCTATCAGCAATAAGTGTAGAGCTGGTCAAAAAAATGTTGACAGAAGTTTTTCATTGAAAAATGCCATTTAATCTAAATTTTTCATGGGAACATGTCGATTTCAACAACATTTTTTCGATGGGGAAAAATGTCAAAATGAAGCATTTTTTTTATGTCAAAAACATTTTGAATCAAAGTTCAGTTTTGATTTTAATATATTTACATATTGTGTGTAGAATATTGTGTATATGTTATATTTAACATTTAATATAATGAAAAAGGCCAAATGTTTTGATACTAGCGACATTTTTGATACCAGCAATTCTCATTTTGAGGACATTTCAGGGATTTTTCAGAATATTGGAACTTCCTGTGGAATGCAGATTCCAGTTCCTGACCAACTCTAGTGAGGAGTTCTTTGTCACAGGACAAAATCCCACCCTGGCAGCAGCGTTGAATTAACACTGGGGAGGTGCTGGATGTCCGTAAATGCTTGCAATGCAGCTGTACCATAAGCAGTGTCTGTATTGAAAACGGCCCCTTCTTAATCAAAAGAGCTATTCTCTGGGTCTCCTTCTGATCTCCTTTACACCAGTGTAAATCAGGAGTGGCTCCAGTGAAGTGAATGGGTTACATCCACCGTGTAAACAAGATCAGAATCAGGCCCTTTTGTGTTTATTCAGAATTCTGTCTGCTCTTTTTAAGCATGAAGGTGTGTTTTGTACTAATTTTTGTCCATGACTCCTGCAGATAGGGTGACCAGATGTACAGATTTTATAGGGACAGTCCCGATTTTGGGGTCTTTTTCTTATATAGGATCCTATTACCCCCAGGCCCTGTTCCAATTTTTCACATTTGCTGTCTGGTCACCCTACCTGCAGAGCCAACACAGCTATGAGAGTGTGAGCTTCTATCTACTGCAACCCAAGTCCCCTAGTATATGTCAGAGTTCAGGGCAACTGCCCCTATATTCCCGCTTAGTGGTCCAGTCAAGGGCACCCACTCTCAGGCCATTCCCTTTTCCCTTCCCCTCTCCGTCTCCCCCTCCCTCCCTTCTGATCAGGATATCTCCCGTCTGCACAGTACCCTGCCTTCACCATGTATTTCCCACCACTGGCAGGTTGCCCAAGGACGTTGCTTGCTTGCTCTCCAGAGATGGTTAGCAGGTGTAATTGCTACAAGGTACCACACAGCACTTCCTATGCAAGCCTACTTAATTTTTAAGGTAAAAAGGATTACAGAGAAATCATTAAAACAATAAAGGAATCTGCACGCTTGCTAATAAGCTTACCAAGCATCACCCGCACCCTCTCATGGATGCTGGCAAGAGTCGTTCTTCAACCCCCAACCCACGGGGATTCCTTTGTGGTCACAAGTTCAGCACAGAACAAGCTCCCAGGTTTATGGGGCCTCAGGAGGCTCAGTCCTTTCAACCCTACCCTAGGGATTGGGGCCCTCCATGTGTCGGGGGTCCTGTCCATCCCCTGGATCATGCAGAAGGCTATTTATCCAAACCCCTTTTTTGTCTTTTGGTCCCTGCTGGAGAATAAGCCAGGGGGTGGCTTCAAAGGGTTGATAACAGAGGAAGTTCATTACCATCCTTCCTTCCCTACTAGAGAAAGTACATACAGTGCCACAGTAACATATCTTTTTAATACAGTGTGCCCCAAAGGTATTAGCCCTAATTCGATAAGGTTTAACTTAATTTAATGAAGTTTATCTTAATTCCAGAATGGTTCTTCAGGACAGTACAGGATATTATCAGTCTGTCACACACCACGCCAAGTTCCATGGCCTTGCTCAGTTTCTCTCCTCAATTATAACCATGGTATCTGAGCACAAAGGCCAGTTGTAAGTAGTAGAGCTTGTGTTCACACTGTGTGATGTTCATCGTTCTGCAGAGAGGGCCTGCGCATCAGTCAAATGCCACTTCAGGCCTCAAAATAGGGCTTAAATGGGACTAAGGTAGTGGCATAAGCCTTGTATTGGCCTTCTGCACAGGGATGAAATTCACCCAACAAGGAAAATATTTAAAATACCCTGGCAGAAGTAAGACCGTTCCTTCCTAATAGAAAAATTACTCTGCCTGGGCCAAAAGTGGGAAATGCTGTTGAATTCATAGCCAAGCTTGCAGAATATCAATAGGTGTGTGAAATCTATCCAAGTTAAGCTTCGGACAATTAATTTGCCACCCGAGTTTCAATACGTGAAAATGACAAGCTGTATTCATTGATGGTCACACACGATCCGAGCTGGCAGCATTTGCTGACAGCCTCATTATGTACATGTATGTGATCTAAATGCTCTCTCCTTCTCAGATCGCAGTCCTGTCCGGAGCCCAGCAACAGGGGCCAGCTTCCACCGCTCCACCGAAGATCTTAGAATGAGACAGAACGCAAATTATGGACGTTTACGTAAGTTGAACAACAGCTACTTACTTGTTTAGCGAGGCAGCAGTGTCTAGCAGAACAAACACCTGGTTGGGAGTCTGTACTCCTGAGTTCTAATCCTGGTTATTTGACTGATTCACATTTGGCAAAGTACATAATCTCTTTGGGCCTCGGTTGTAAACAACTGTTTCCTAGAGCAAGAAAGCGAGAATGGTCCACTTGAAAATCACTTTTCCATCTGCAAATGTTGCTCTAAGTAAACTCTAAAATTATCATGATTGAAAGAGATTAGAGAAAGATGGATGCCACTTTATCCCATGGTGATTGTAGTTACAGTGCACTTAAATTGCAAGTGCAGCATAGTTACGCTGTGGCTATGATTTTCAATAACTTATTACAAGTAATTCAGATAGCCGGAAGGGGAACTGCATTACAGACTCCCTTATTGTTACACCTCTGGGTGTTCGTCTTATTACATCGCTTTTTGGAGCCCAGGTGTGTCTAGCTACGTTTCAATTACACTGCAGTTATCCTCCGCCTTGTAGTTCTTCCATTTTTATGCATTGGTGGCAATTATAGGTATCAAAAAGCATAACTACAGTGTATTGCCAGGTAGAACTTATTGCAAAGTGTCATTTAAAAATTAAAGGTTTTTAAAATGACAAATCATCGCTTTGCAGCAAGCCCTGAGCAAGGGGCAGCACATAATTACGCTGCTTCAGGAACCACGTTCTGACTTAGAGTCACAGTCTGTTACAGCTGGATAGTTGGCACAGACGACTTCCCCCTCCATACCTTACAACTCCTTATCCTGCTGTGTAGGGGTGTAGGGCAAGAGACAATCTCAACCTGAGATGAAAATCGGGGTGGGGGGGGAAATGTTTGCGTTTTTCAGCCTGCTCTGATTACTCTAGTGGGTGTAATTCACATTGAAATCAAATTACACTAAGATGAACCCCGAAGGGCTGGATTCACAAAGGCATTTGGGCGTGGTGATGCTGAGCATCGCCAGGCTTAATTTTTAAGCACCTAGAAAATCACTGTGAATCACAAAGCACGAGTTAGGCGGCCAGGCTCCCTGTACAGTGAAAGGGGAGAGGCAGACACCTCAGAATGGGGTTCACAAAAGCCAGCACGCTGGAGGCCAGGTGCCAGTTAAGTTAGCCAATGGGAGATGCCAAGGATACAAGAAGCTGGGGTGGGGGGTGGGCAGGAGAAGGTGGATCATCATCATCAGGGAGACTGGGGGTCTCATCTCCCAGGCGAGTGCTGTAGCCACCAGGCTACTGAGTCATTCTTGTCCTTGCGCTCTCTGGCCCAATTACTCTTAATTATGTATTCACAGTGGAACAGTTTTGACGGGAGAGACTGAGGCAGCCCCACATCAGAATATCCCATAGCTCAGTGGTTAGGGCACTCCCTTGAAAAGTGACCAGTCCCACTTCAAGTGGAGGGGGGACTTGAACCAGGGGTGTGCCACATCCCAAGTGAGCGGCCTCACCTTTGGGCTAAGACGCAAGGGAGAGGCTCTCCTCCCCTGTTTTGTGTGAGCTCGGTAGGCGTGTTCAGGGCTCGCCTCCCAGATGGGGGCCCACACATGATTTAGGTGGAGGAACACCTTGTCCGCTGGTTCATTCATCACGCTGAAGCTCAGGTGTCTGGATGCTTAGCATGAGGCTGCAGACCTCAAATACGCAAGTACCTGGGGAACTTTTCCTGCAAACATTTAGCTATCTACCGGGGTTGGTGGCAGCTGAACAGGGCTTTTGTGAATCCTGGGGGTGGGATTAAGGTGCCTAAAGTGGCAGTTCAGTGCCTAAATTCTTGTTTGAATGTAGCCCCAAATATTTATGTGATGGCCAGGGTGTTGGCCGACACACTGGGGATGGAATCAGGGACCTCCAGATAGAAAAGCGTGAGCTGCTACAGGATCCCTTTCTGGTGTCTGTATCAACTCCTGTTCTCTGTGGATCACCATAGCGGGGGACTTGATACGCACATTCACCAGTGGGTTACACTTAGTCAGGGGAAAGCATTGTTGAGAGGGGAAAGAAATGAATAAAAACCGAGTAAGGACCTTAGGATTTGGCCATCAATTTGCACCACAACACTCAGACAGATGAATACTCCTGTTATGAATGATGATGGAGTGACCCATGAGGTATAAAGCTTTAAAGAGAATCGCAAGACGATAGAACAGGGATAGGCAACCTATAGCACGGGTGCCGAAGTCGGCACGCGAGCTGATTTTTAGTGGCACTCACACCACCCAGATCCTGGCCACCGGTGCGGGGGCTCTGCATTTTAATTTAATTTTAAATGAAGCTTCTTAAACATTTTTAAAACCTTATTTATTTTACATACTACAATAGTTTAATTATATATTATAGACTTATAGAAAGAGACCTTCTAAAAATGTTCAAATGTATTACCGGCACGCAAAACCTTAAATAAGAGTGAATAAATGAAGACTCGGCACACCACTTCTGAAATGTTGCCGACCCCTGCGATAGAACAAGAAAACAACCAAAATGCGTAGACTAACAAGTTATAATTATTTTTAACAGCTTCAGCACTGGTCTACATTTAAAATTTAGATCGACCTAGCTGTGTCACTCTCAGGTGTGAAAAATTCACACCGCTGTGTACATAGCTAAGTTGACCTAAACCCTGATTCTTCCATCAACCTAGGTGCCACCACTTGAGGAGGTGGATTAACTACATAGATGGTAAAAACGCTTCTGTTGATGTCAGAGGCATCTGCACTAGAGCTCTACTGCAGTAGACATGCCCTCTTGCTCCCATTAGCAATCCCACTAGCTTAAAAATGGCAGCTTCCAAATGAATTGGAGAACTTTGGCTGGAAGCTAGCACCCAGCTCTAGAACTCGCTTAGCTCTGAGCTGGTTCTTCTAGTCTGTCTAAGCTGTTCTGTTCAAGCAGTAGGATCTGATTGATTGATTTTTTTTTTTTAAATCATTTGGTTCCAAGATCCTAATAGGAAGTAATTAATGGGAGCCTGTCAACTTTAAATTTGCCCTTGTTGTTACTGTAGCCTCTATGTGCTTCATCTGAGATCAGGACAGCGTTGCGCTAGGTGCTGTATATATACATAATAAAAGACAGTCCTTGCCCCAAAGAGATTACAGTCTAAATGCATGAGACAGACAAACAGTAGAAGAGAAGAATTATTATTGTCCAGATGGGGAATCAAAGGCACAATGACACTAAGGGCCAGATTTAAAAAGAGAGTTAGCTGCCTATCTCCCTTTAAAGTTCTGGTCCTAAATTGGTGGGCCGTGGTCAGGCAAGACTCTGTAGGAAAACTGGGGATTGAACCTAGACCTCCTGAGTCTCTATTCACCAGGCCAGCTGTCTGAAAATGTTCTACAGGCTATTTTTACAAGTCACATTTAAAATTACTGTAACTAAAAGAAATTAGGGGACGGGAATCATTTTGGGGTTTTGGTTTTTTTTCAGATTGCTTACTTTGAATATTTGGCAGCACTGTGTTTCAGTTTGAGTCAATTTCATTGTTCACCCTGTATTTTCTGGCAATTGGCTTCCCCTTTTGAGTTCTGAAGAGAAATATATTTTGAAAAATAGGAAATTGTAAAACCACAAAATCGAGGAGGAGGGACTCAGGGTGGATTGTTGCTTAAAATCGAAACAATGTCAAAAATGAGTTTAAATTTATATAGCCCTTGAAGAAGCGGGGGGGGGGAAAGCTTTGAGTAACAGAATTAATCACTTCGCCTCCTCTTATTGCTAGGCATTCGTGGCATATGATATCTTGATTTTTGCTGCATGTTTCCTGGAAATTGATAGTTTGGTTATACTTTGAGAGATAAGTGGCTTGTCACCCCCAAAGGGGACTGTGTGCAAAGCTTTCATTAACCACCCACAGATTTGACATATATGAACTCTCCTGGAATTGCAGCTTCCCACAGACCCTGAGAAAGCCCTGATGGGAAAAGATGGAAACTGGGGCAACGTGTCACAGGAAAAGGGTAAAGGGACCCAAAAAATGGAGCAAAATTCTGCCCCCCAGATCCATCCATGCCATACCCATTAACTCAGCGGGAGTTGTAAATGCAAATGTGATGGCAAAATTTGGCCCATGCAGTGTAAGAGATAAGTGTCAACACGTGGCCAGAATCTGATCCTAGTTACACTGGTATAAATCCAGTGAACTCCATCAGGGTAACTCTGTTCTGATCACATTTATGCCATGTTAAATCTGGAGTTAGTCCAGGTGAGCCACACCAGATTTATCTTCTTGTAAATGGGACCAGAATCTGGCCTATTCTAGAAATGGACAGTGTTAGAGGCAATTTAGGACCCCATTCTCCTTTTCAGTAGCTTGTCAACCACACAGGTGAAGGGCACAAAATGGGCCTGTGAATCTGTACATAGAAGGTTTGTGGCCTCTAAATGTTTCTTACCGTGTCTTTCCCTTGTGCTTTCTTTAGGCCATGCGCAAAGCAGAAGCATGAATGACATTACAGATACACCAAGCACAGATCAGGTAGTAAGTTCTAAAAGCCTTTTGTGGACCAAGGTTTTCTGTGTAACATCATGACCGACAGCCTCCCATTACCAGGGGGGAGAAAAACAAATATCTGCTGTTATACTCTCATCCATAAACCGTAAATATGAGCGGCCTCAAAGCTGATTGTGTTCATTCAGGACAGGTGCAAATACACTGTGACAGACCCAGAGCAGTGGGGTACAGGAGTCTGGTAGAGGGCAAATATACTGGTCACTGGATGAGTAGTTTTCTGTTCCCTGAGTGACCAGAGAAGGGGCTGCACTAGACTAATCAGGAACCTGCTAGAACCAGTTAAGGCAGGCAGGCTAATTAGGACACCTGGAGCCAATTAAGAAGAAGCTTCTAGAATCAATTAAGGCAGACTAATCAGGGCACCTGGGTTTTAAAAGGAGCTCACTTCAGTTTGTGGTGTGAGTGTAAGGAGCTAGGAGCAAGAGGCGCCAGGAGCTGAGAGGGTGTGCTGCTGGAGGACTGAGGAGCACAAGCGTTATCAAACACCAGGAGGAAGGTGTTTGGAGGAAGGCATGGGGAAGTAGCCCAGGGAGTTGTAGCTGTCATGCAGCTGTTACAGGAGACACTATAGACCGCTGCAGTCCACAGGGCCCTGGGCTGGAACCCGGAGTAGAGGGCGGGCCCGGGTTCCCCCCAAACCTCCCAATTGACCTGGACTGTGGGTTCTTCCAGAGGGGAAGGTCTCTGGGCTGTTCCCCAACCCACATGGTGAATCTCTGAGGCAAGAAAATCCGCCAATAAGTGCAGGACCCACCAAGATAGAGAAGGAACTTTGTCACAATACGTACTTCCTATGTTTAGCAGCATTCGGTGTCTAATTTTAATCCACAATCTGCATCCATGATGCCCTGTCCCTGGCCAGTCAGGACCAAGTTGTTACATACCAAGAGGTAGATACATTGGAATGTAAGACTCTCAGAGCTGACCTAGTCCAGTATTCTATTCCCAACTAATACAAGATACTTCAGAGGAAGCAGCAAAAAATCTTTGTGGTGGATGTTTACAGAGTAATCTGTCCCCAGTAGATGATTCTTCCTATCCCCTGTCACTTAGTGGTTGGTTTATGCCCTGAAGATGGTAAGTTCACATCCCTTATGGATTTTCACTCCTAATAGGATGTTCTCATCCCTACATAAATGTCTAATCCTTTTATTAATCCTACCAAACTCTTGAGCTCCGTGAGCCAAGCAGACACCCAATGAAAGTGAAAGGCAGCAAATTTAGAAGCGTTTAAAAGGAAATTCTTCTCTACACGATTTCGAATTATCCTGTGGAACTTGTTGCCACAATACATAATTGAGGCCAACAGGTTGGTAGAATTCTGACGAGGATTAGACATTTATATGGATAACGAGGACTCCACAGTTACAGTAAATAGGATTTAAAAAAAAAAGAATGATCTGAATCTTGCCAAAGAATTGTTTCAGGAATACCCTGCAACAATGAGTTCTGCAGGTTAATTTATATACTGAATACACATTCCTGTGTTGCCATACTCATGTCATGGGTAGAGTGCACGGTTTGGGGGTAACTTGAGTTTCCATACTACATGTTGCTTCCTTTGGAGTAGTTTATTATGATTGTTCGTTTGTATTCATAGCACCTAAAGACTCTGATCTGGACCCCATTGTGCTAAGCACGGTACAAACAAATAATAAAAAAAGATGGTCACTGCCTTGACGAGCGTAGAATTTAAGTATACAAGAGGCAGATACAATAAACAGGTGGAGGGAAGACACGGAGCCAGTGTGATAAGCATCGATCGCACCAGCTGCAGAGCCATTTTAAAATGTTTAAATATTGTTTAAAAATCAAAAACACTTCCCTGCTCTGTGCTTCAGTTTTAATATCACTGGCCTGTCTCCCTGGCGCTTAGTTAATATTTGTTGAAGCCCTTTGAGATCCTCAGATGAAACTTTGACTACAGTATGTGCTGGGGTGAGGACAATGTGTCCTTCTGACTGATCCTCTGGGAATAGAAAGGAGTTGTATCCATGACATGGATTGTACTGAGGGTTGATGTGTCAAAGGGTTTCTCTGTCTTCAACATAAGAGGCCCATGTGAGTCTCATGTTATTGATGGAGTGGAAATGCACAGACTTCTAATTAATGCATTTAATACCTGTATTGATCTCTGGTAATTCAGATGACATCAGCCTTGGAAATAATACCTGCCCCAGATTCAGGGCAGCAAGAAAAAGCAGGTTAGGGGTATGAAAACACAGCAGAAATACTTTTGTAGGGAGGACGCTAGAGTCTTGAGATGAGGAGAAAAGCTCTTGAAATCTTTGGGAGGAAATAGAGCAAGGAATATCTAAATAAAAGAGGAAGCAGGGTGTGGGTGGGAAGGATAGATAGGGTTGTAAAGAGGTGGGGTTGTTTGTGGAATATAATAGAGATGAAGACAAGGTGGCATATTTAGGAATATTACTAGTCTAGGGATGAAAAAGCAGGAGATCATGGGGAAATAAGAACTTAGTAGACGGTCATGTTTTTCCATACACAAAGAGCAACCCATCTGCCTGACTTTTTTTGTTTGGATTAAGTGAAAGCAACAAATAAGAAAGAACAAAAATAATGTCTCCAGGTGAGCGCACAGCGTGTATGCCTCTTCTGTAATATTCTGCATCAGTATGACCGTGCTTCTGCCATGTGGCATGGAGTGCTATCAGGCTCTCTCTCCTTGTCACCACTGCTATGTTTAAATGCAGGTGAAATTCCCATTAATGTGGTGTGCAAAGTGTAAAAATGACTCTAATACAAAGGCAATCTGATGAAACATGGATACTGCTCTCATCTTCTCTCTGTGTCCAGGTCTGGCTGGTATGTTCCAGTTTTGTTAATTAGAAATCTGTGCTGCTTCACCCAGTCAATAACCACCAAAGTGCCTCGTGAGAGACTACCATGGGCTTTTTTTTTCTTCTGCCCTTCCATCCATCACGTTGAAATCCTTTAACTTACTAAAGCTCAATTTGATCCTGAACATGACCTCAAAGCATCATCTTCCACCTCAAGGTCATCAGGAAGGACACGCTGTTCCTACCTCAGATTTGTCTGCGCCCCTTCACAATTTCATTGATCTGCACAGATCTGGGATTAAGCTCAAATAAGTCTGTTTCAGAGAGGGAGTGTTTCTAGTGGTTGGAGCAAGATATTGACAGACAGGACTCTTCGCTTCTATTCTCAATTGTAGAAAGGATAGTTGGTTGTTGGTTAAAGTAGGTCACTAGGAGTTAGAACTGCTGTCTTCTTTTCCCGGTTATGGGAGAGATTATTGTCTAGTGGTTAGAGCAGAGCGCTAGAAATCAGGAACACTGGCTTCTATCCCTAGCTATGTGAAGGAGTGTTATGTAGAAGTGAAAATAGGCACTGACCGTTGGGACTCCTGGGTTCTTTTCCTGACATTGCCACTGATTCACTGTTTAGCTTTTGACAAATCACTTAATCCCTGGTTGCACAGTTCAGCCATCTGTCAAGTGGGTAAAATATTCCACGGGGTTGTTGTAAGATTTAATATTTGAGGTAGTGTTTAAAATCCTCAGATAAAAGTTCCTGTATTAGTGCAACGTATTCTTACCTGTGGAATATGGCTACTCACCTGTCATTTATTCCTTTGCTTCACATAATCCTGAACTGCCATTTCCAGAAGTAAATATATTAGATAAATAATTATTGATTTTCTGAACAACAAAAATGCTGATGTCTCCTTTTCTTTTGAATGGAGCAAATGGTACTGCTGGAACAAAAAATTACAGACAAATATAGGCACAGTAGTTTTAGATTAGAATCCCTTTTCTGAGACCCTGATATAGGCACCTCCAGAAGTGATAGCTCAGGATGACATGAAACAAAAGGCTAAATGACAAGTGATTGGCCGCATTCCGCAGGTAAGAATACTACTTTTCACTAATACAGCAATTTTAAACTGAGGATTTCAAATACTACACACATATCACTGTAGTAACTCAACACTTCAGCAGGATGTTTGCCAATTGGTCCTAAAAATTAACTTAGGAGCCATGTTCTTTGTGTGAAGCAGTATTTTTTTTTTCAAAATGTTATAATAATCTGTTTGTGGAATTTTTGAGTTACAAATTGTATTTAAAAAAGTAAGTTTGTCAGTATAGGAGAGTGGAGTTCATAGAGTTGGTTTGTTCATACAGTCATGATATGCTATAACTTCATAGAGCATTTATTATTCAGTGGAAATTCTATCATTGCTCTAATATTGAAGCCTGCTGTTGTCACAGCTATTATTGTTCTGTCATGTAAAGGAGCGCTGGAATTTTTCATTTCCTTGAACAGTGTGTTTAAGCACCTATATAATCAGAGATCAAATGGTTGTAGATTATTATTGGATTTTCCTCCTTTCCCTGGTTTTTGAAAGATTGAATCCTGAGCTATTTAATCAGTCCAAATTCCCACTGGCTAATAACCAGTGTTCTATTCCTACCTCCGTGTGTGCTCATGCATATACAAGTGTATACTTTTGGTACAGCATAGGAATTGTTAATGGAAGTACATGATTTGATACAAAGTAGTGACTGGGACATGCTTCACCTGACATGGGGAGTGTGTGACACATCATGTCTGCTTGTTCAGGCTGGAGCCACCAAGAAGATAAAAGCTTACTACTGCTGCCAGTTGAAGGATTGACTATGGACTGCAGGATTTGGCTCACAATGTGTATTTTTAATGTGCTCTGATTCCATACTATGACTTTAAAACTTTGGCATTTGATACTGAGAGTGGGGAGGAACCAGTACTTAAATACTTGTGAGGCGCAGATATTTGCTCTTGACAAAGATGATGACCCGCTAAAGAATCCTGGGAAGCTGTTCATGAAGTGGCATTGGATTTAAAACGAACATTCTCGATTTATTTCCATTCCTGGTGTAGGATAAGAGAGCGTGCAGTTGACTTTAATCTGATACTCATTTTGGGGCTTGGCGCTAAACAAGGGGGGG